ATAAACAAATTTTGTCGCGCCTCAAAACTTTTGAGACACCCTGTATGAGCATAGACAAATTTCTTTGATAAGACAATTCAAACTGTCTCTGATTTAAAGGGATAAACATCACAAAGTACCATTTTGTCTTCTTATGATTTGATGAATATAATCAATAATCAGTATGATGACCATTAGGTTTTTTACAGTTTCTTTGTGATAACACTTGTGTTCCGTCTCTGGTGACATTCTTTTGCAACATCACTTTTGATGATTGTTCTAATATTTTCACGCCAGATGTCGAGTACTTTGTGGAGTTCATCCTTTTAAAATAGATACAGTTTGGACTGTCTTATAAAAGAAAATTTTCTATGGTCATATAGCACAGAATTTCAGAAATTTCTTGAATTCAATATTTTTTTTATTCTTGAATAAAGTTGAATTTATATATCAATATAGATGTGGAATTATTGGTCGATGTTTAGCGAAACAAATCGTTCCTTATTTAAATAATTTTAAAAAACCAATATTAACACTCAACGATGATAATCATATAGAAGAAAATACTTGTCCATGTGCATTTCAAATACGTTATCAAGGCTACAAAGGTAATTAATATAATTTTAATTTTCTTTTATTAAAATATGTCATTTAAGGTGTATTAATGATAAATAATGATGATCAAGATGATAATATTCAAGTTCGTCCATCCATGAAAAAATTTACAAGTACAATTAGTACATGTTTATATGTATGTGATGATGGATATTCAGGACCAAAACTTGGTTTTCTTGTTAAACAATTTATTATGTTATTATCTGGTTTAAATATTCCAGATGAGATCTTTTTAAAAAAACAAGAAGAATATTTTCATGAAATTATTTCAATGTGTGATGATATGAATATTGCTATAAAATATTCACTTTATTTTGATAGAATTGATTTAATTTATCATTTATTATCAGCTAATATTCAACATGTTCAATCAGAATTAGAAATTCTACAGAAAAAAGCTTTAGAAAGTGTTGAAAAATTAAAAATTCCTATTACAAAATCACGTTTAGCTTTTGGAGTTTGTGATCCATGTAAGTTAAATCAACAATTAATATAAAACTAAATTAGATTTTCTTAACTATTGATGATTGAGCACTCGTCAACAGAGTAATTTTTTGATCAAAATTAAGAAAAATATTTTTCTTTTCTATATCAATCAATTTTTAATATTAAATTGATCTTATAAGCATCGAAACGTGAGGGATTCAGTACCACTGATATATTTCCATAATTTTTCATTCGTTTTATCTTAAATAACATCTTATTAAACGAATTATAAATTTATCTAAGCAAAACCAATCAGAAATTTCTATCTTGAGAATGATCTCTGGCCTGTTGCTGAAACTTTTTTCTTAAAAATCTTTATAATAGCTTTACAATACAAAATTCTCTATAAGATACATCGTATTAAAGTTGCACACCGACTAATAATCATATTGAAAATCAGCTCACAATCGAAGAAGATTAGTTCAATAAAAGTGCCAATGTTTTTAGAAAATTAATCGAAACGTTGCTATTCAGTTTTATGTACTTGTTCAAATGAGATTTTGTTCAACATACAACAAATGAAAAATAATAGGGATGAACTTTCTTTTTCCATTTCTTATAGTTCCTTATGTTTTAGCATTTATAACCTCAGTTTGATATTAGGAATCAAATGACGAAAGAAAAAAATAACATAAATTGGTTTCTCTCTTAAAAATGACTTTCTCCATAAGCTTGTGTAGCTTCTCTCAGTTATTCACACAAAAAAGTTTTTTGTTAAATAATCTTTTATTTAAAGTTACGGAAAGAATGAAGACTATAATTAATAAGACGTATAATTGTATGTAGTCCCGATTTAAACTCATAATTTCTAGTTTATGATCAAATGAAATGTTTCATTTAGTTCATATTTATTTGTATCTTATTTAGATGGTGTATTAAGATCTGGTGAAGTTTATTTTCGTCCAACATTTAATGGAAGACAATTTATGATTGATTCAAAAATTTGTTTTGTTGTAAAATCTCCAAGTTATCATTTAGGTGATATTCGAGTTTTAAAGTTAACATCATATCAACAACTTGAACACTTATATGATGTTATTGTTTTTCCAACAAAAGGTCAACGTCCACACCCAAACGAAATTGTATTTAAATTATCGTTTTTAAAAACAAACATTTGTTATTTTTCAAAGCTTGTTTTGTTTTTTTTTTTAGGCTGGGAGTGATTTAGATGGTGATAAATATCTCATTTGTTGGGATAATGATTTAATTCCAAAACAAGTAAATAAACCAATGAATTATAATTCAACAGCGAAAGTACAAGAATCTGAATTCATTACACGAAACGAGATGATATCACATTTTGCTAATGCAAAAAAAAATAATCAATCAGGTATTATTGATAATTATTATAATTATTGGGCAAATCTTCTTGGAGTTAATTCAACACAATGTCGTCGATTAGCAGAATTATTTTCTGAAGCTGTTGATGCTCCTAAAACTGGACAAAAAATTCGAATACCAGCTGAATTAAAACCACCAAGAAAAGAAAAACAACAATTAAATAATGAAACAACTTCAATAGAAACTACACAAGGTAAATCGTTAAAATATTTATTGGTTTTTTTTTTGTCTTGAGATGTTATATCTGAATTCTAAGTGAAAGATGTTTGCTTTGATTCAATTGAAAGCGAAAGTTTCTTTTTCTATCGGCGAGTTCTACTAAAAGTTTGAATCGAAATGAAAATAGATTCAGAGTATTGTTTTCAAAAAATCTCTACTAAGAGCTCATCTAATTAGTCAATTATTGATTACTTATATTTTGATGATCTCAAGTCTTTTCTCTTGAATGGTGAAAATTGTAAAACTCTATAATGTTGTTACGTGTAAAACGAATTTGATGACTAAGTTATTTGTTTTATTAGTTGTTATTTAATTGAAAAAGAAAAATCAATGTCTCATGTTATTCTTCGAGTATTGAAGTTTATTTTATTTTTAATAGTTAATAATCAATCAAATATGAATAATAATAACATTGACAAAAAAGAATTTGTTTGGATAAAAATGTTAAATAATGCAAAAAAATTCAAAGAAGAATTTCAAATAAAATTAATCAATGAAAATCAATTTAAAACTTTATCAAAAGAAACATTATTAAATATATTATATGAACGACGATGTCCTTATTTATATAATTATAATAATGTTCAATCATTAAATGAATATTCATTAATAATTACAACTATTAAATGGGCTAATGAACAAGAAAATTCAGATGATATTCTTAAAGATTTTATTTATTTATTTGATTTTAGTCAAGTTAGTTGTTCTTAATAATTTTCAAAACAAAAAAAAAAGATTTTTCATTGAAATTTTCTTTTTTTTAGTTAACAATGGAACAAAAACAAAATATTGAATTGTCATTAAAAATTGATCAATCATATTTATATTCAATATTAAATAAATCAAAATTATTATCAAAAGAAGTTATTACTAAATATCATTTATCTGATACTTCTTTATCATGGAGATTATTTTATACTTCTCCAAAATTATTTAATATATCATCTCTAATTGAATATGAACAAACATTTCAACCAATTATTTATGTTTTAAAACAAAATTCTTTACATGAAAGAACACTAATTAATATTTCTATTGATGATAATATTACTTTAGTATTAGATATTTATAAAGATGCTTTTCATGAATTACAACAAACTAATCAAAATCAATCACAAATTATTTTTCAAATTCAACCAGGTATTTTACATTATCAAAAAAACAAACATTCTTTTACAAATTTCACTTAGATAAATTTAGAAAAACATACGAAAGATCTGCTAATCATTCAAAAAATATCATACTGCTTGAGCTGACAAATCTAACTGTCTATAAATGTTACTGTGAAGTCTAAAAGTTTGACTAATGAGTGAATATACATCAATGTTAACTGCTCTAGTGTTACTTGTTCACTCGCTCTCAGTTCAGATATGTATTATAAACTTAATAGTCTTTTAATTGTATTTATGTTTTTGAAAAAGAAATATTTCATTTATAAGAAATAAAAGAAAATATCTAATTATCATTATCAATATTCTAATAAAATTCCTTATATCTATTTTATCTATATCAATATTGAGAAAATTTCTATTTTAATGGAATCTATCTTTCAAATATTAAGAATATCGATCACCTTTGTGAAATTATAGTTAATGTCGTTTATTCATTGAAATTTAATTTCTTTTGATTTAAAGATGAGAAAAAAAGAAATCATTGATATTTTATTTTAGGATTATTCAATACTTATCTTGAATCAAAATTATATTCAATTCGAAGAAAATTTCTTCTTGATATTGATTATTTTTTAAGTATAAATAATGATCGAATACAAATTTATCAAAATCATCCAAGAAATTCATTTATTGTTTTTATGTATGATATTAATCTTGAAAATAAAATAATAAGTGTTGATTTAACACGATTTGATCGAAATATTTTACGAATACAAAATCATCCAAAAGTAAATAAACATGAATTTTTTTATTTTGAAATATTTGTTTTATCTAATGATGAACAAATATCTTCAAGTTATTATCCAATTATTAGTTATTATGATGAAGAATATTATACACAAAATTATTTTAATGAACAAATTGAAAATTATCAATATGTTGAATATCTTACAGAACAGTAAGTTATTATTTCTAATAGTTTTAAGAAAATCTACATTAGTCATTCAAGTTAATATCAATTAAAATATTCATTTCTAAA